ATTTTCAAAATAGACTGGTAAGTTAAATACACAATGACTTCGTCCACACAGAGAAAACTCTTGCAATTGCAATGCTGCTTCCATATGGCTTAAATAACGACCTTCTACATACTCTTATATTTCATTAAAAATTTATGTATCGTTTTCTTTATGACTTGTATCTGTTTTCGTTATTTCTTATAATTCTATCTTTCCTCTTCAATGGATATAATCAAAAATATGATTGTTTCAAATTAAAAAAAAAAATCTTTTTCGAATCTAAATCCCACCAAGCCTTAAATTTCTAACTATGTTTTCAAACTAAAAAAATATAAAATGAGATTTGTTAGATATAATTTATCAATTGAATTATAGTGTGAGGCTATAATGTTTTGATCAAAATACATACTTTATAGTTTTATTAATTATAAAACTTTTTGAAGGACAACCAACAACCTGGCCATCTTATCGAGTGTAGTCACTGTCGGTTATTAAAAGGTCAGTACAGCGAGTTAGATATTTTATTGGTTTGCTCGGTGAACTTGAATAATGCTTTTAGGCCAAAGTTGTGCGAGAGCAATTATTGAGCGACATTGAAATAACTTAAGTGTGGTTTCTTGATTGTGAGCGGGTAGGTTGCTCGTGACTCCACTTTTACTCTTGAGAGAGTAGAACGGCTGGAAACACGAGGACTAAACCTGTGGAGGCTCTGGTCAAATACATTTATCAATAAGGGGTAAGGGATAATTAAATAAAGAGAAGAGAGTGCTCGTGCTGTGAGAAACAATTATCAACCAGTAATCGAAGACAGGTGATCCATCAAGGGTTCTTGATATGAATTTTCCGAAGCCTTAAACAAGTTAAGGTAGCTGGCATTGAAAAGTAGATTTTTTCTTTCAATAGTGAATTATTATAGCAGCTCATAAAATTTGAAAAGATAGCAAGTGGCTTCAAGAAAGTCTTTTGAATTAGTTTTTTAATAGCATGCAATTGAGTGGCTATTCTTTCAGGAAATCCATCTCGGAAGAATCGATTTCACCGTCAGGTGTTAAGTTGATTTAGTGTAAACAGGTGAACTGCATCAGTAAAGGACTAGAGCCGAAGCTGATACCACGAGGCGCACTTAGTGCCTACCTTGAGTGATTTCCGTGGTTCGCGGGTGAGAGGGTTATTGAGGGTACTGTTAGTGGACTCCTGGAGGCATTGAAGATAGAAAAAAATTTTTTTTTAAACAGGTTTGACAAAAAGGGTTTTAAAAGAAATCAATCGTAAAAATTAGAGCCATCCTTTAGAGCAGCTGCATTGACTCTCGTGCATGCTACTCGTTTCAGATCACCTGTACACACTGCATAGATTTAAGTTAGCTTTATGCAATAATTTCATTATCATAGTCATGCACAGAGTCACTGAATTGATGAAGCACGAGTGTAGTACAGATTGTTACGCAGACGGAGCCACTTATTTTTTCACAAAAAATACTTACTTTTCTCGTTCTTTGACACTAAATTCTTTTTTTATATCCTTGGAAACATTTGAAATGTTTCGCCAGTTTTCGATGGAGGACCTTGATTCTTCTACATTAAAACTCCGTCGTTCAGGATTCCTAATGCGATCATCTCTACCTCTTGAAAAATCAGAACGTCGGGTATCTCGATTTTCATGCCATGATCCAGAGTTCTGTAAAAAAATCCGAATCAGTAATTGTGTCAGATATTTGTTTTTATTATCGAAGTATTAATTAAATAGGTTACATATAAGTGTTTTGGTTGATAAAATATCAAACAATGTTTTGCTTGTCTGATTTAATTATGATGATTAAGCTGTTAAGATCCAAGGGCATTCAGAGAATTAGTGTAAGTTATTACCACAATGGGTAGGTAATATATATGATTACTAAATATATTAATATTTTTCTAAGAAGTAAGAAAATATAGACTTTTACAGCTTAGAGCTAGGCAGTAACGTAAAAACTCCTGATACGGTAAATATTTTTTTGGATAGATAAAATTTATGATTAGGAAGGGTTTAGTCTTTAGTACAAAATAATAGATTTAACTAAGGCGTTTCAAAGTGCTGACATAATTATTATATCCTTAACATATTTTCATCTTAAAAAGAGGAATGATTTTTCATGAATCAGACAGTATNATTTTTTTGGATAGATAAAATTTATGATTAGGAAGGGTTTAGTCTTTAGTACAAAATAATAGATTTAACTAAGGCGTTTCAAAGTGCTGACATAAATATTCTATCCCATCAATAAAATATAATTTTGTATCATTATTAATAATTTCATTAAAAATTTTCTTTCGACGACTATTCAGTTTTACAAATAAATCCTTCAAACTCGTTTCTAAATTATTGATAGTTTAATTATCCTCACTATGTTAAGGTGTTATTTTATTATTTGGTTCTAGTCATCTATAACCTTTACATGCTTTTTTTTCAAAGATCTCATTTAAATGTTATAAAGCATTATTTTGCTTATTGTTTTGCAAATCTTCAATAAAAGAATTTTGCAATGATTTCTAAATAGTCTTACTACAAATGTTTGCAGATATTAAAAACCATGCGATTAATTTTCTCAGTGGATATGACAGCATCAGAGATTAGTAGGCAGTTGAATTGTTTGTGCGCCCGTTGCGGCCAAATCAGGCGCAAATTTTTTTTTTATTATTATTTGAAAAGTACGGTAGGGGTATGCGTCTACGAGGAGACGACTAGATTCGCGAGAAAATTTGCAAATAGGCGCACATTTTATAAATGCGTGGAACGGGTATACCGAATGTGCGCTTTTAAGGAGAGGAGTGGAAATGTTGGCTATAGCTGCATAGCTGAGTATGTAAAAATACACGGAAGATTGTTGTTACCAGAATAAGCTATACCAAAAGTGATGAGCATAGAAAAATAACGTACAGGTCTTGTAAGAAAAAAATAATACAAATACAAATAAAAAAAGACTTCATACTTATCAATATCGATATAAAGTAATAAATTTATTTGATGATTTTTGTACTTGTCGTTTATAAGTATAAAATTGATCTATTGGCCACCTGGGCAGTGTGAAAAATACATAATTATAGATATCTAAGAGCTCGTTCACCGTAAGTTGTAGGAGCTGCCACTTACGATTGCTGGCTACAGCTACTTTTAGCTCGTGTACAGTTTGTGTAATAGCTGCTACAAATCTATTTTGCTCATATTAAAACGAATAAAAGATACAAAAATATCTTATGAACAAAAAAATTTTTTTTAGAAAAAACTGTTGGATTTATTAAAAAAACCATATAAATAATGATCAAAAAATATATTTTATACGATTTACGAAAGAAATTACGAAATTTTTTTCATTTATCGTTCTGGAGATTCAATAAAATTTTATTCATATAAACAATAAGGTTATTGTTTTATTTTTTAAGGTTAAAAAATCTTTCAATGGTATTGATTGTTAAAGCATTAGTACTGCTTTTAAAAAGTATGGCAAACATTCTTAGAATTCAAAAACGATTAGAAAAAATTACGAGAAGATGATTTGATTATTAAGGATTGAGGTTAAATAATTTAAAAAAAGCCTTAGAAATAAATGACATTAATAAGGAAGATAGATAACCTGAATAAACTTTAAAAATCAATTAATTATTTTAGGAGGAGATTTCCATCAAGTTCTTTTATGTATGAAAAAGTAGTGCAAGTATTACTGAACATAGATAGAAAATGTCATCCTTACTAGTTTTGTTCCGCATGGTAATACAAAACCTGCTAAGATTTCTTACGATTTTAAAAACGAATTCGTTTTCACTCCTTTTTTCCTATCCTTCCTCCTCTTTCTTTACCTCTATTCATTAGCGGCAAGTGTAAATTTGACGCTCATAGAAAAACAACACTTATGCCGTAGTATGCACAGTGTGCGTATTAAGTGATAATCTCGTAAAAAATGTTTGTGGGTTTTGTATTACTATGTAAAACAAAACTTAGTAAGTATTACATTTTCTATCTATGTTTCATTTAAAAGATTATTATTAACAAGAAATAGACACTAAAATTATTAAGTTTAAAAGTACGATTATTTGAAAACGTAATAAATTATCATTTCAAGAAATGGTTAAGATTTTCAAATAAGAAATCAGTATTTGTTCTCATTAATGAAGGATAAATGTTTAGTAATATATGTTATAAAATATTTAGTGATTCGAATAGTTAATTGGTTAACAAGATTTAATTCATAATGAAGAAAATTGTGCTCTTCTGCACATCAACAAAATTATTGAACTGGAATATTAATACTGTAAATTAAAAAATTTACCTGTACCATTTGAAATTGATCTACAAAACAATAATGACGCAGAGGAAGTTGCATTCTGTACACATGCGTTCGATTCGATGTATGATCAGCTAAGCAATAAACAAAAAAATATTTTTTAAATTATGNAGTACAGCGAGTTAGATATTTTATTGGTTTGCTCGGTGAACTTGAATAATGCTTTTAGGCCAAAGTTGTGCGAGAGCAATTATTGAGCGACATTGAAATAACTTAAGTGTGGTTTCTTGATTGTGAGCGGGTAGGTTGCTCGTGACTCCACTTTTACTCTTGAGAGAGTAGAACGGCTGGAAACACGAGGACTAAACCTGTGGAGGCTCTGGTCAAATACATTTATCAATAAGGGGTAAGGGATAATTAAATAAAGAGAAGAGAGTGCTCGTGCTGTGAGAAACAATTATCAACCAGTAATCGAAGACAGGTGATCCATCAAGGGTTCTTGATATGAATTTTCCGAAGCCTTAAACAAGTTAAGGTAGCTGGCATTGAAAAGTAGATTTTTTCTTTCAATAGTGAATTATTATAGCAGCTCATAAAATTTGAAAAGATAGCAAGTGGCTTCAAGAAAGTCTTTTGAATTAGTTTTTTAATAGCATGCAATTGAGTGGCTATTCTTTCAGGAAATCCATCTCGGAAGAATCGATTTCACCGTCAGGTGTTAAGTTGATTTAGTGTAAACAGGTGAACTGCATCAGTAAAGGACTAGAGCCGAAGCTGATACCACGAGGCGCACTTAGTGCCTACCTTGAGTGATTTCCGTGGTTCGCGGGTGAGAGGGTTATTGAGGGTACTGTTAGTGGACTCCTGGAGGCATTGAAGATAGAAAAAAATTTTTTTTTAAACAGGTTTGACAAAAAGGGTTTTAAAAGAAATCAATCGTAAAAATTAGAGCCATCCTTTAGAGCAGCTGCATTGACTCTCGTGCATGCTACTCGTTTCAGATCACCTGTACACACTGCATAGATTTAAGTTAGCTTTATGCAATAATTTCATTATCATAGTCATGCACAGAGTCACTGAATTGATGAAGCACGAGTGTAGTACAGATTGTTACGCAGACGGAGCCACTTATTTTTTCACAAAAAATACTTACTTTTCTCGTTCTTTGACACTAAATTCTTTTTTTATATCCTTGGAAACATTTGAAATGTTTCGCCAGTTTTCGATGGAGGACCTTGATTCTTCTACATTAAAACTCCGTCGTTCAGGATTCCTAATGCGATCATCTCTACCTCTTGAAAAATCAGAACGTCGGGTATCTCGATTTTCATGCCATGATCCAGAGTTCTGTAAAAAAATCCGAATCAGTAATTGTGTCAGATATTTGTTTTTATTATCGAAGTATTAATTAAATAGGTTACATATAAGTGTTTTGGTTGATAAAATATCAAACAATGTTTTGCTTGTCTGATTTAATTATGATGATTAAGCTGTTAAGATCCAAGGGCATTCAGAGAATTAGTGTAAGTTATTACCACAATGGGTAGGTAATATATATGATTACTAAATATATTAATATTTTTCTAAGAAGTAAGAAAATATAGACTTTTACAGCTTAGAGCTAGGCAGTAACGTAAAAACTCCTGATACGGTAAATATTTTTTTGGATAGATAAAATTTATGATTAGGAAGGGTTTAGTCTTTAGTACAAAATAATAGATTTAACTAAGGCGTTTCAAAGTGCTGACATAATTATTATATCCTTAACATATTTTCATCTTAAAAAGAGGAATGATTTTTCATGAATCAGACAGTATAGCTATAATCATGCTCTATAATTCAGTAAAATACAAGGATTGATAAACGATCACTTAAAGACGAATAAATAAGTAAACACAAACCCTATTAGACTAACTTTTAAAGTTATACTTCTATAAGAGTGCGATAAACAGAAGTAAAATAATGATTTCAGAATTTTTTCTTTTGAAAATGTGACGAATGGTTGTTTCTGTACCTGGTGGCGCATGTCGCTAGGATAAACACCCGGCTTGGCCTTGCCTTGGTTCGATGCGCAACAGGTGTGAACCCTATTTCTTATACTAACGGCGCACTGATCGTCCAACTGTTAAAAAAAACACCTAAAGTAGAAAATATTTCTGCCTGAGATGGGATCGACATTTTTTATATCGAGGATTACTTTCCGCCTTAGGGCAGTAACAAACTTTGGGCCTGGCAGGGCCAGAATGTTTCTCCCCACCCGTGGGCGAAAAGTTATTAGAGGGCGGAAAGTGTGCCCTAGGTCGTTCACTGATAATTGGTATTTGAATAACTAAACAAAACACTGAAAAACTATACAACGTATTAATACATGATAATATATAAAATACTTATAAATCAACAAAATTAGCATTAAAAAAATTGACGTAATTTATATTTCTAGGTGGAAAAATACTCGTGTTGGCTACATTGTGTGTACAGTAGACGAATAATAAGATATCTGACATTACAGTACACTCATGTGCCGTATATTTAGATATTGATTAATGATTCAACGTCGTTCGTTATATTTTATAACTCACCACACAAGGGAACAAAATTTTACTTAGCGGGTTAACAGTCTCTTTTCTATTAGGTGTATTGTTTCCAGAATTAACGTATACCATTTCAGATAATAATTTTTTCAAGTTCAACTCTTTGTAGCAGATTTCAATTGAATTCTGATTAAAATTTTAAAAAAAATCATACCACGCGCTCATATACAAAATTCTCTTGTGGTGACTGTACCTGTAAAAACGTCAGTACACCTAAACAAATAATTTAGTAGTTTGATCATATTTATGATTCTTTTAAAAATTTTTATCAGAATTCAATTGAAATCTGCTACAAAGAGTCGAACTTTAAAAAAATAATATCTGAAATGGTATACGTTAATCCTGGAAACAATACACCTAATAGAAAAGAGACTGCTAACCCGCTAAGTAAAATTTTGTTACCTTGTGTGATGAATTATAAAATATAAATTAAAATTTTCCAAGAGACTTTTTTAATAGATAAGAAAACTAAAATATAACATAGTTTTGAACTATTTTTGACTTTTTTAAGAAAATAATCATTCACAAACGGGACTGAAAGAGAAGTTTTAGAGTCGTGCTTGTGTACTGAGACAATACATTTAGAACAGATGTTTTTAAATAAAAAGAAGTTCTGTATTTTATAGATTCGTTAATAACAGAACTAAGGTATAATTTTCAAACACTGACGGCCATATGATAGATTAATTAGTATTATAAAAAGATTCATGTGGAAAAAAACGGAACGATAAATCAAGTGGTGAACTATATTTTATTTCAAGAATAACGGGTGGTTTAACAAAAAATAAAGTGTACAGGTCGTGGATTTTCTATTTTTTAAATGTTAGTCGTGGTGTCCCGTGAGTTTTTTATTGTTAGAGTTATGTCTTAAAAGTTAATACTGTAGTTGTTATAAAGTTTATGTACAAATTTTATGATAGTTTTTTAAATTGCTCAAAACCATGTCAATATGCTTTTTATAAATACAAATTCAAGTGTCATCTATGTAACAGATATAGTAACATATCGTAAATTATGTTAACGGTTTAATCAATAAGAGGGAAATCGATGATTTCATAGAATTTCTAATCAAGCTTTGTTAAGTATAATATAGGCTTATCGATAAATGTAGTTATGCGTTCAGTAATGATGGCTATAAATAATAATTTTTTCAGTTACACAGGATTGATTCTAAGATGCAAATATNGTATATATATATATATATGGTAAAAGTGATTTATGCAGACTTTACGTGCTTTTGAGATATATGTTAACTAACATGGTAAAATTATGCAGATTTCCGCGTAACTCCTAATTTACTCACAATTACTACCCAATTACATGCATATAAACGTATAAATGTCCACATAAGACAACTGTTGTAAACACACACGCACACATACACACACACACACTTGTATAGTAAATGTTTGTGATCTTTATTTTAATGAAAGTCAAAACAGCAGTAGAAATAACTCAATATCTACTTTAAATTTATAAGACAAATTTTTTTCAACGTTTATTGATCATAAGTTTTTTATTTGAATTACCAAAATTAATTTGCTACATTTATATTACCTTAACTTTTTTAAGCGTTGTGAAACGACTGAAATTCAAACAAATAATGTAGATATTTTTATTCATCCACACCAACAAAAATGTATACAAAAGAAAATGATAACCATCATAAATTGTTCATACTTAGATGGTTATTCAATTGATAAAAAAGTAAGTGAAGACTAAATTTCAAACTTCAAAATTGAACGCATGATTGTGAAGAGGGTTTAAAAGTGGAAACAAAAAATCAACCCAATAAAAATAATGTGAAAACTAATGGGCATTTACCTTATTTACGAAGTATTATTCAATTTTTATGCACACGCAAGCGCGCGCGTGCGCGCACATACTGACACACACACACACACACGCGCGCGCGCGCGTGTTGTCTGTTCAAGTTCAATTTCATGTATTCATGTGCACTAGTGGGGCTCTGCTTTCCTGCGCACTTCGCACACGAACCCCTACTCTAAGTAAAAATAAGGGTCTTTTATTTACATATATTAAATGGTAATACTCAAATTTTTAAAATGCAATGTGCTTTATAAATTGATACAAACGAATACTAACATTTGAAATTGATGTTTAGTTTTAATAGTGAATTGTCACGAAAAGTATGGCGTATTTCAGGACGTCCACTCCTCACCGGCTGGGCCAGCGCTCTCTGCCGATGGATCCAGGCTAAATAGCATCCTGGAAGAAGCCCCATGTTTCAGGGACCACTCCTCACCAGTAGGGCCACCGATTTATCTCTGCTTGGCATCGGATTCACTAATCCCTACTAATTTCGACCTTGTTATTTTTAATTATAATTAAAAATCATTTTTTTGCAATACGTTTGTCTCGAATGTTGCAGAACCAAACAATTTATAACATAACTTAATAAGGTATCAAACTTTCCTATCATAGAATGACGGCTGCTAAATGCATATATTGTATCAACTTGAAGGTAATAACATTGATTCACCTTTGCATCAACAATTATTTGTAATGGTTTGTTAGTATATATCAGTGCCCTCCGGTGAATTTGGAAATTCAAAGTGATCAGTGATCCGAAGTGATCCAGTGAAGAAAAGAACATTTATAATCTACATTACCGGAATAATTAAAAGTTCTTAAATTTTATTATNCAAATTCGAATCATTCTTACATTTTTTTTAAAGAAACTTTTTTCAAATTGTAAAATGATAAAGAATTTAAATCATCATCTTCTTCTAAGTAATACAGGTTTTAGCTTGTACAAATATACACAAATATACAAAACTTTGAACAACAATATTAAAGGAAAACGCAAACAGTCAATAAATATTTTATTATTTATCTACAAACATTATTTAGACACATTTTGAATACGTCAAATAACTTTCTTTTCAATTAAAAACTACATGTACTGTTATGAGATAATAACTTTTAAAACCAATCTGTAAGAGAAGCCATGGGGATACTTGATGATGATAATAATTATTTTGGTTATAATGACAATAATAGTGTCAGTGATAATTATTGTAATAATGATAGTAATAATAATAGTGATAATAATTATAATAAAAATAATGATAATTATAATTATAATAACAATAACGATAATTATAATAATGATAGCAATAATAGTCACAATGATAAAAATAATGATAAGGATGAATGATCATGATGATAGTGATGACGAATACTGTGATAATGTTGCAGTATGAATATTTTTTATTCTTTTCTTTTTTTTCTTTTTTTATTATTTTGGGACACGTAAGGCATTAGAATATTACCATGAATTACAAAATCGTTTAACATTAAAAAGTAAACAGATCTTTAAAAAATTTTGTGCGATTATCGACTTTTGTTTAATAATAAACAATATATTAAAATAAATAAATCATTGACTAAAAAAAATTTTAACTGCATATTTCTTGTTTATTGTAGAAACGCTTTTAAAGTCAGAAATTTATAAAGTTTTTCTTCACGTAAAATGTGAATACAAATTATTTATTCTACACTTGATCTTTTGGTTGATTCACTATACAAATGAATAACGTGTAATAAATAGAGATTTGTAGTATGTAATACTAACATAATTAAATACGTAATAATTGTTTCTAATAAATAATCGATTCGACTGTAGCTTAAATTTTAGAAACAAGCTAGAACTACAAATTAGTTATTCAAATACCAAAAAAATTGTCTTCACCCGGAGAAATGTTTAAATGACCCCACTAATTCACTATACAA